CATGATTATAAAAATTTAAATAACAGTTGATTGCATGATATATCAATATGATATTATATAAAAAGCATAATTATCAATTTTAAATAACAATTGCATTTCACTCTTGTAATATCTCAGATTTGCCAAGATTCCAGTTTTGATCAATATTTCTCTAGTCAAAACTAGAATTCCGCTTTTGCCCGGTCAAAACTGGAATTTTAGTTTTGACTAGAGAAATATTGGTCAAAACTGGAATTCCAGTTTTGACCGGGCAAATCTCAGATTTGACCGAATTCCAGTTTTGCCCGTAACATATACATGTGATTTCTTTTAAAAAAATAACCATTGTTTTTTATTGAAATCTCTCTCCACTTCACTGTTTTGTACTCATGATATGTTTACTCGACCTACTTGCATCATTTCAATATCGTTTCGAAGAATGAAAAGGCCTTTTTATTGCGATAAAAGTGTCATGGTATTTATTATTATTATAATAATAGCATCGATAATGTAAGTAAATATTTTCACACAGTCTACATACAGAAAGATCTATTCACAATAAAAAACTTGTGTGACATACTCTTTGTCAAGTTGAAAAAGACGACATCATGATGTGTAACGTTCCTGTTGTCATAAAAACAGTCAAATAAACCAGAATACAATCAATTCTCCTTTCCTTATCATCCTTATTCCTTATAATCATATATAAAGAATCTCGTTCGCCGTCGTACAATCTGAAAAAATCAAACTGAATTTCTTCAAACAACTTTACACATTTTTGCATTTCCAAGACTTTTAAGGGTACGTACAGCAACCGAAACAATTAATTCATCAAAATAGGCTATTTTCAATGAGCATCGAGTCAAGCTGTTGTAGTCAAACTGATTCAAGTGAAAATGAAACTATGCAACGAACAAACGAACTGAATCGATGTCGTCAATTAAGAGATTTACTTGCTCGTCGACCATCAATTGCGATTCTGCTTAAACAAAAAGAAATGGAACAACATAATAATCCATGTACAAGATTTGAACCAAAATATTATCAGCCTGACTATTGTAAAGAATGTTCTAAGCATGAAAGTGCTCATAATAAGTCAGAAGAGCCAAATCTGACAGAAAAAGGATCAATTTCAAAGACAAATAAAGATACAAGAAAAGGTCAGATATCAACAGAAGCTCCCACATCGAATGTAGTATACAAAGCAAGTCAAAAAAAGACCAGAAGCTCAACAAGTGTCAGTGATTTAATAAATTCAGCTGCAGAGCAAGTCAGTTGCAGTCAACTACTAGGACTGTCAAAAATATTTGAATCACGTTCAAACACCGATTTAACCAAGTTGGCTAGATCCAAAGAAGTCAAGGTAGGTAAATCAAGCGATGTTGAGAAACATCTGATGGTCCAAACGTGGGTAACTTTGACTTTAATCAACTATAAAAGATTCTTGGAAAAGTAAAGCGCAGTGGAAGCCTTTAAGGATCTTCTTACAAAACGTATATAAAAAAAGTCCCTTGGAACACTGGGAGAAATGATCATGATGATTTCTCCCAGTGTTCCAATAGACTTTTTCTTCAAAAAGTGTAAGACTTGGCGGTTTGAAAACCGTAAGTTGCTAGAAGATAAAGAACCTTTTTTTTCTTAGCTTTATTTTGAAACATAAGGCTTTCGAGTGCAACTGTAATCATCATCAGCTATACAAATGTATGAACAATAGACAAGATATATATGAGTTCGTCCATCTTTTCTTTCTATTCTTCGGAGGTAAGAATATTTCTATTACTATGAGCACTGCAAAGTCGAAGAAATGTAAGAGATGCGATCATTGCAGTACTCTTAGTAATAGAAATATTCTTACCTCCGAAGAATAGAAAGCAAAAGACGGACAAACTCATATATGGGACCTGTGCCTATTATTCATATATTTGTATGGGTGATGATGATTATAGTAGTAATCGCAAGCTCTATATTTTAAAATAATGATTCTTGAACTCATATAATTAATTTATTCATTTGTTTTCTTAGCTATTATCACTACCAGTACCTGCTTCTTCACAAACACTTTCAACAACACAATCAATTAATAGTAATGATAATGATACCGTAACTGAAGATAAAATTCGAATATTATTTTATCATGTTGATGCTAATCATGACGGTTATGTCGATGAAGACGAATTTTATAATTTAATGCAAAAATTATGTCTATCCAAACAAAGTCAAAAATATAAATTTGATAAAATAATTAAAAAAGATGAAACACGATTAACTTTTGACGAATTTTATCGTTTTCTATTATCAAGAATCACTGATAAACCAAACTTAGATTCAAATTTAGACAAGAAACCGAGCGATGCATGTCATACAGAGAAGTTTAAACAAAAGCTTGAACGACAAATATCAGACAGATTAGAAAATGATAAAGATTTTTCAATCCGAATGCAAAGTGTATTAGAAACTATTGATTGCAATGAAATATCTGAATATTTAGCTCAACGCTGGATCAACTTCAATCGTTTTCAAAGACTTGGTAAAAGTGGTAGTTTAGTTCTGACGGGTGAGTGAATATAAACTTTCGTTCATTTTTGCCGAGCAGTTTGTTTTCCTCACCACCTAAAAATGGTGTTTTACTAGACGTTTAAGAGTTTCATTTTTGAAACGAAATTTAAATCTGTTCAGTTCTCGTACGAACCTTACAGTTAGTGGTTTATTTAAGGAAGTCCTAACTTTTTTAATAATACTACCAAAGGTTATTTGAATGAGCAGTTGACGCAATGAGTAGTAACGGTTCGAAAGAACTTTTTATCGATATTGCAGTTTTCAAACGAAATGCCTTCAGAAACAACTGGATGTGTTTCGTTCGAAAACTGTAAGAAATGTAAAATGCAAAGATCAGAACGGAAAAGCACTGTAGTAGCAGAGATATGTCTCCAAACCGAAGATTAAGCTATCCCCAAGTCACACGCTTTTAGTAATAGCTGACTATTACTCCACCCACAATCATCTGCGTACTCCCTTTTTCTATTCACACCAAGTTCGTCCATCACTGTTCATCCAAAATGTTTGGATTAGGTTTCGTTGGTGTAGTCAGTGACAGTTAAGTAGTATACCGCTCACCCATACATCCTGTAGCGAAAGACACCAATTCCAGATGAGTTTTCCATACATAAAAAAGTTGCTTCACTACGTCGAATCGTTGACGGGCTTATAAACTGGAATTTCTTTTCACAGGTGGTGAGTTAGCCGAAGATATTTTGCCTGGTGAATACGATTTATATAAACTAGCATGTTGTACAATTGAACCAAAACATGCTCAAATACAAAATGTTCGTTGGTTATCATGTTTTCAACCGAATGTATCTGGTATTTGCGCATTTCCACCTGAGTTTGATGGAAAAATTCCAGTTGATATAGCAACAAATGAGCATTTGTCATATTATGGATGTTGTTTAGCTAGTAGTGCACAAATAAAAGTTTCATTATCTCATCGACATTGTTTACAAGATTTTATATATAATGAAAATTATGTACAAGATTATGTTAAGAACGATGGACACGGCGGATTAGAGATGCATGGTTTTGCACATTTGGATTGTCCATTAAATGATAATAGTGGTTATTTTATATTAGGAAGATTCGTTGACAAAAATAATAGTGAATTACATTTAACAGCATTTCATATACCAACAAAACACACATTATACGTTCCACCAATGACAATTCATAGTAATGATTATTTGAAAGGTAGATGGCGAACAATGTTATCTGATGAAACAAGTATTGATCATGTTAGTCTCTCTCATCAACACCGATTAAATGGACATGATACATACGAACATTTTACACTCGAGTTTGTTCAATAATTTTGCTTCAAGAGAAGTCCTATTATATGCTCGGCGCTCTCAATGCAGTACAATTTCATTCAGTCATCTAATCCAGATTGTGTAAAAAATGTTATGTTTTAGTTTATTGAAATATAGTCAGTGTTTACAAAAGAGTTTTTAACACAAACACCTGAATACGAAATGCAAAAGAAATATGCTTTTATGACAACATATCTTTTATAGTATTTTCAATTCTTAGCTCTTGCCATGTACAGTCTATTCACATACTTCCTATACTTTGTTCTTTCAGTGAGGAAAAAGTTACTTTTGTCGAGTTCTCATCATTGTTTGGAAAGGGTAGAAGGAATGAACAATATAAATACCCACCGCATAAGTAAAGCAGCGTTTCACCTATATGTATAGCTCTCTAAATAGAGTAAATAATTGTTTAAAATATATGAATACTTTCTTCAAATCACAAGTTACATCGTAGTAATAGTTAAAAGCTGTGTGTAGCGTAAAATGAATACGTCGGTTTCAAACCATGAAAAACTGTCCAATTCAACTAAAGATTTATTATGCTTATCGCAGAGTGTCATCGTCAGCACGAGGATCAACGGCTTGTCCAGCTAACGGCTTCCATTTTTTGCTCTTTTTCGAAAAGTTATTGCAATAAAGCTACAAACTAATCGTAAATGACAACTAGATAATTCAGTAGATTAAACATTTGTCTACAAAATGAAAAGTGTCTCGGCTCTGAACGTTGATTTGTTATGAAAATACAGCTGTTGTACAAACAGCCCCAAAAGTCGATATTGAGCCTATCTAAAAAGCTTGTCTAAAAGAGTGAAGACTAGCCGGCAAAAATTGAACAAGTATACCAGTTTGTAGAAAATTGTTTGCTCTACAAGATGTGATAGCTTGTCAAGTTCGAAACTATTCCAGTTAATCTGTATTAATCAAAGGAAAACCAGAAAAACCGTGAGAGCGTGATGTCACGCTCTCACGGTTTTTCTGGTTTTGTCAAAAAATGGAAGACGTTAGCTGGACAAGCCGCAAAGCAGGTCTTGATCTTCAGCAATTCTGTTTGTAGCCAACATTAAAAAATTAAAACTTTTCAAACACATACAAATGACATTCTGATAGTTCATAACTCCAGGTTATGTACTGTCGCGTGTATCGCATAATACACCTACATTAATGAAGATAATTATGGTCTGTTTGTTCTTCCCGCGTTCTGTTAGATGAACAGCGTGTAGTAGCACAATCTTAGTTTTATCTTATCATACTACTCACAAGCGAATCATAATGCATCAACATCGTATATGGTTTTAATCTCAGTGACAACTTTTGACACACTTGTTTTGCTTTCTGCTTTCGTTCAAGTTCTATATACAAAACATGTTACATCGTCCCCTGCAAATGACGTGAAAAACGTTTAACCGAATTATCTAGGATACTGGGTCAACAGGGTATCTTTGAAATAGATATGTTAAGGAACCATTGCAAAGGACTAGTTTCTATATTCTAACTTAGAGCCCTAAAATACTAAATTGTGCATACAGAATTATACTAAAGTTTTACAGGTGTTGACTTCGCTTGATTTGTTTAAGTTATTTTGTTTTATTACAAAAAGGAAAACTAATTGTTACAAAACATTTTCTTGATCAAATAAGACTTCTTTTAAAAAGCTCTCAGATAATCTAAGTCTTTTTCGCTGACTACAATGTTTTTAAATCAATTATCGCAAACGATGCGATAGCGCTAATACTCTTCCGTTCTTTAAATGTGACTGTTTATACCATTGTTATGTGTCGGTGTTGAATCAACGTATGCTCGTTTTAAGAGATCACAATGGGCTTAATCTGGTTTCACTTGTCCTTTAACATCTTCGAGCTGATAAGTCCTTAACAGACATAGTTTCCCAATCGGGTCAATCCAGTGAGATCGAAATTCCTTTCTATTTTCATTATGTATTAAAACCCAATTATCCTGATATAACTCGTCGACGTGGTCTTTCAAACTTTTGTCCCACAATACATTTTCATCTTGGTAGTATTTGATTTTAAACATTCGTGTACACTGTCGCGTTGTTGAACTAATTGATGAATTTGTTGTACACGATTTGCTGTGTTATTTTCTTCATCGTCACTTAATACTGATATTAATTCGTCACCCGATAACTTCGGTCACCATACACCATGTAAAATGATGTTTTACCTGGCGCGTGATGTTGTCTTACTCTACATGCAAATAGCGCACGATTAACATTTGTTCTTAGATTTAGTTCAATGGATTGAAAACAAAAGTTCAGAGGAATATATTTCTAGAAATGAGTTGAAAGACCTTCGGATTAAATTATTTCTAGGACGAAAACAAATACTTGAATTAAAAAAATGAAGAAATGCATAATAAATCAAACAAGATAAATGTTGTATCTCAATCTGTCAATACAGAATCATTAAAATTAGGATTAGAAACACTTAAAAATGATTTATTAAAATCAAATTTTAAACGATTAGGAACAAAATGGCTTAGAGAATTAGAACATATAGAAATAGAAACAGAAGATTTTATTACTGAATGAGAAAATCTTTTTATATTATACTTCAACTGGTATTTTAAACAAAATATTATAAGTCCCACTATTTTAAAATCAATTGGGATGTTGGATGTATGAAACATCAGGTCAGGATGAACTAAGATAAAACCAAATTATAGTTATAAAAACGAAAAATGTAACAAACAATGTTAGCTTTTATTAAATAGAGAACTTTATATCGGCATAAAAGCAGAAGAAAACGATTTTACTCTCTTTTGGTTTCATATTCGTGTTTGTATAAGTGCATGTGCAAGTGCAGATCAGTTAATATTGGACGCGCTTTAGTTTCGTTAAAACTAAAGTTCATCAGCAATTAGCATAATGAAGAACGAAAAAACAAAAAAAAATAATAAATGAGCAAAACATAAAACGAAATAAAACGAAGAAGCACAAGAAGTAGAAACCGAAAAGGAAACTTAACTGAATAAGGCGTTTTGTCAATAACAGGAAAGGAAAACAAAAAATACCACGGACAGTTTTTTATGATGATGACGACCACCCTTAAAGCACTTTTCTGTTTTTGTTTGAAGTATTCTACTATTGCCGTTCACCAGTTTTTCACAAAACTCGATTTTCATTGTGCCACATTACGACCTCCTTAATTTCATCCGATCGGGTTCAAAATACCAGGGTACTCAAGGTTATTCCGCAGAGGTAATTTTTGGGAAATCTTTTTGAGACCTTTCTTGGTCGAGTTATAGAAAAAATACTGAAAAACGTCTCAAAAACCAAGTTTTTCAATTTTAGGAATTCTATAAGTCGGTAAAGAAAAGTCTAAAATAAAATTCCAGAAAATGTTCACTGCAATAGTGTCTCGAGTGCCTCTGCTAAGATTTTGAACTTGATCGGATGAAATTTAAGGGCGATCGTAATGTGGCACAATGAAGCCCGGTAGCAAAAAACTAGTTTTAGAGAAAAAACGCATTTTGTACATAGGTCACTTTTTTCAGAGCATTTGCCTCGATACTTATACCTTCACGAAAACTCATCGGAAAATTCTGTAAAACGTCTTATTGTGAAGAAAACACTTTCTTCTGTTAGACTACGTGTAAGAAAAATTTTGCATGTACGAAAAATGAGAGAAAAGTTTATGAAACTGAAAAAATGCTCAGCTCAAAATCCAAAATTTTTTTTAAAAAGATGGGAGGTACCCTTAGTTAATTTGGTGATCAAAAGTGTTACTTTTTGGTGATCATTTTGATACAATAAAATCTGGTGATCACAACACGTGTTTCTCATAATTTATGATGTATAAAACAATTTGATCTCCATGTGTGTGCTATATCGACATTTACATGATGTAACAAAGGTTATCATTTAATTGAATAATTTATTGATATGTGTGATTAGAATTTTACTAGGGTATTCTTCATATGCGTGTCCTTCTCTACAAATATATGATTCATGTACTTTTATCATAAGAAAAGTCTCTCTTCTTTATATAATCATAATAAAAGGAAAAAGTGCTGTTATAACGTTACCACGGCTATAACAACATTTAGTGCTTTCATCCAAAAAAATGGATATAGATTTCGTTAATACATCATTATTATTCGGATCAAATAGCCAACGTGATATTATACAACAAGGATGGCCAAAACTAAGTCAGATTAATTTTTATGCTATTATTTGTGTCAATGTTGGTGTAGTTATTGGTACATGGATTTTATTTCGTTTAATATGGAAACCATTAACTAAAGAACAAAAAGAAAAAATTAAATCAAGTCAGGATCAGAATAAGGTAAATCGTTTGGGTGAATATTCAGGTTGACACAAGTGTAACTTAAGTTAATAATTCTTTAACTTATCAACAAACACTTTTAAACTAAAACCACGGCATTATCACAATGACTTATACTCTTTAGCGTAAAACTACAGAAAGATAATAAGAGTCGAAAATTATCTAGAAGAAAGTTTATCGTATCTTGAACTTAATTACTTGATAGAAGTTTTCGTGCCGGAATCCACAGATTTTACTTTCTTACAGCAGTAAAACCTTCGCATATTAAATGAGCGTTTATCGCACTGCAGGACAAAATGACGACGTCAGAATACATATGAACCCGAAGTTTTCAAAATATATTCGCAAAGACTCCACCTCACTCTTTACTTTTACCTTCACATTGCGATGTTGAGCTTGTGTGCGCCTAAAGTCTTTCTGCATTTTTTGAGCGAGCTCCCCTAGAGAATCCCTTATATTAACGTTCCTTAAAATGCTCTCCATATAAATAATTTATATCGCTCTGTTTGCCTGGTAAACTAGAGGATAGATTAACAAAAGCATACCTCGATGAGAAAGCCTATATCGATGCTAATATAGTATCATGAGTTCAACCAACGAGCATTTCTACTAGACCCGCTAAATGAACATACTCTAGGATACTATATTCCCGACTGAAGGCTCCCTAGAACTAAATCGATTGTTAAGGAGTTAACTAGAAACTAAGTACAAGCCAAGTATATAGCCGAAGAAGCCCACTCATAGTTTGAGTTTAGTTTCATGCGAGTCTGTTTGGTCATGGATTTATGCTAAATGACGCATACAGCTATCATTTCTTTTTTGTCATCTCTCTGAACATTTCTTTTCGTAAGTAACTAAATAGATTTTGCCTAAACTTTAATATACTCTTATTGCGTTGCTGATTCTGTCCTTCACTGTTTCTAAATTTGCAATGCTAGCGTTAAGTGTGTTCATGTGTCTTTTGATTTCGATCCCAGGAGAAGTATTCTATGCGGATCCTACCAGCAATACGATTTCATAGAATTCCTATTGTAGGATTCTATGGAATCCTACGGCAGGAACTCTATAGGATTCTTGATTCAGGACGCTAGCAAAAATCCTACGGGATCCCTACAATAGAAATCTTATGCATTTCTTACAAAATCGTACGGTAAGATTTTGTAAAATTTCTATTTTTCGTTCTGCATATATTTTCTTTTCTTTTAGTATACTAGAACACAATCACTGACGTATTTTGCAGTAACTCTGTTATAAATACAACTCTGATGCACTAATATATTCAGCGCAACACGCGCTACAAAGCCCGTGCTATCTCGCCGCTAGCGCCGAGGGTAGGTGTAAAGTGGTATGTTCCACTTGGAATCATTCAGGTCTCCGTTTGGTTGACTCAGTCGACTTAAAAGTTTCCTCTAGTCAGTTACTCACAATACTTTTTTATTCTGATACTGTACGTATCGTCTATAAATACAAGGTCATTCAATCTCTTTCGCGAACATAAATGAGTCTTTTCTTCTTCTAGTTATTACGATATATATATATAGTACTTTCTCATACAAAATCCAAGCCATTTTGTGATGATTGAGACTTGGTGCTATACTATTTTCGAAGAAAATGTCAATAAACCACATGCTAACGTTTCCTAGTGCAAAAATATCAGCCGTACAAGTACTTTTATTATTTCTCGACCGAGAAATGTTTCGCACTTTTTTTTAACATTAGTATCGACGATAGTAAGGTAAAAGTCCTTATTATATGTTTATATAAGCAGTTTTATTAAAAACCTTTAGACGTTATTACCCCCAAAGCGACAAAAGCCATTACAGAGGTATGCAAAAGCTCCGTTGTTACAAAGAACCAAAGAAAGACAACAATAGAAAAAGAAAAGAGAGTATTTGAATAAAAGAAAATGGTTTCGGTACCGCTCTTTTACGTGCGCTTATTCAGACCATGCGCTGTTTCCTCGTTTTATGCACTGAGCGGTTTTAAGGCCCACCCCCTCCGTCAGAAAGTTATAATTTTTTATAAAAGGTCGATATTGGACTAAACACATCATCAGATAGCCCAAAGTATCTACTATCAGGATCCAGTGTTATTTGTCCTCATCGAAGGAGTATGCTATGCAGGTTTTTAGAAAAGTTTTGAAAACCCTGAAAATCTGACTTGTCAAAATCATTTTACTTTGCGATAAACAAACAAATCCAAAAATACTTCAATAGCATCAGAAAATAGAGCAACCATTTCTGATCCAAATGAGATATCTCCCAGCTCTGAATGATGTTCTGATCAAGAGTTATGAGAGTTTTGCGATAACTCAGAAAGATCAAATGTCAAAAAATAACCCGATCACGAGAGATGTATCTTTCCTGAGATGAAATGAACTTGAGATACCATAATTTAAGAAAAAGCATGTTTTATAGCCTTATATGGCTATAAATAGAGAAAAAAAGATCCTAGAGGCAGATCACCCGTTCCTCTGGAAAATGTGCCACACATAAATATTCGCTCTTAGGTATGAAGCGTCAGCAAATCCTCCATAAAATGCAAAGACTTGCTGTAGCGATCATAGAATTTGCGATTCAAATATTTTACGAGGAACACTAGAATATCTAGATTAACCAATCTCTGATAGATCCCATCGTTCGTCTCCAAAGTTGAAATGAATTGTGATATGTTTTATAGATGGAATTGCTCATTGAACACGAACAAATATTACCAACAGCACCAAGAGAAATATTCGAAGGTGAAAGTGCAGGTGATTATAAGCGAAAATGGACATCAACGTTTGATTTAGTATTTTTAATAATAATGATTCTAATATTAATTTCGAATTGTGTAATAACATCACTCATAATTCCACAATTATGGAAAGAATGGAAGTTTTGGCTTAAACAGATGATAATATTTTCTATAATGTCTGTTGCATTGTTTATTGGTGGTTTGATATGTGGGCATTTTTGCAATATAGATAAAAATGGTTATATTGTAACAAATAAATCTAGCCGATTTAAAGTAAACTACACACGTAAACTACAACATTTTGTTGCTCATTTATTACCGGTAACGTTTAGTGGGGTTCTGCAAACACAAATAATAATACCAGAAACGTTAAATTTAGCTTGGAGTTATTGGTTTGTTTTATTAGTATTTCTGTTATTAATTAAACCAATACGCGAACGAATCAGATTTATGATGCTACAATTTCATTCGTTAGATCGACCTGAAGATCGGCCACACACATTGTTTTGGATCGTTGTAGGAAATAAATTACCTGGTGTTTTACTAACAGTCTTTTTTAGATGGTTATATCCATTTACTGGTCAACAAAGAGATTTAGCTTATATTTTTATATTTATTACGAGTATTGGTGATGGGTTAGCTGAACCAGTTGGTATTTATTTTGGAAAACATCGATATAAAACAAGAGGTCTTTGTAATAATACTCTATATGAACGTTCTTATGAAGGTTCTGCATGTGTATTTATTTCATCAATTGTATTTACATCAACATTTTGGTATGCATTTACATTACCTACGCAATTTTGGATTGCTATTATTATATTACCAATATTGATGTCATTTGCTGAAGCATTAAGTCCACATTCATGTGATACACCCTTTTTACATAGTGTAGGCGGTTTAACTTTATTTATTATATCACATATAAACATACAGTGGATCTAACAATCTGAAATTATCGTTGCAATTTATTTTGAATGTTGGATAGTTAAAAACTTTTTGTCACCATGAACATCATTATTTTCCACTAAAATCTGTGTTCTCAATTTTTTTCAAATCATGAACCTCTGTCAATGGTTTTAGTTTAAACTTTATTCAACACTTTCAATAAAAGGAAGAGAAGAATAAAATAAAATGAGAAGTGTGCATTAGACAGTTTCAGGTTAGGACGAGCGGTCCTAAACTGTGTTATCCAAGCAACTGCTGATTTTAACCATATTTTTAGTTAAAAAAAAGTGTTCATAAGTAGTAAATAAGCAAAACTGACATCTAAGACAAAAAGAGATTGTAAACATGGCACTTATTTCTGAAGGTGATGTGAAGACCACTTTTATATTCGAACTTTTTGCAGTTTATATTTGCTTTTTAACTTTTCTAAAGCGGAATTAAAGCATTATGTTCCCAAAGAGAAAACCGGGTAAAACATTGAGAAATCAGTATCTCAATTACCTTAAGAAACACTTTATTTTGAGAGATCTCGTATCAAAAGTTTTTCTTTTTCACTCTTTCTTTATATAGAAATCGCTACATAAGAGTTCATCGACGTTAAGATAAATTTGTTGTTGGATTTCGAAATATAAAGTATTCGATTAACTCTTTGTAAAAAAACCTTTTAATTTTTTGCTCAAATTGAAAAAGCTTTCGCTACTTGAAAAACCAAAAACGATGTTTTCCCAAACCAAATGTGTTTAGGAAAGAAACCCTTCTGGTGTTTACCAAAGCTAGAAAATCCTTCGACTCTTTCTAATAAGCACTTTTTAGTTTTTTGTTCAAACAGAAAAACCCTTTCGGTTTTTAAATACGCTTTTTTCGGTTTAGGGTAATAAAAAAGCCCTTAGTCGCCAAGGACTTTCACAAAGTACTTCTTAGCAGTAAAAACAAGTATTTTTATCATTGAGAAGCACTTCTGAAAGTACATGCCAAGTGAGAAATTTTGAAAACATTTGCCAAGTTTTCCAAGTCCTTACCAAGTACTTAGCAAGTAATCAAGTACTTGCATCAAGTACGTTCTCTAGGGTAGGCAGAAAAAACTTCAAACCATATACTTCAAATTGTTCCCTACAATCTGCAAGAGTTTGAGAAAGAATCCAAAACTTGAACATATTGCTGGTTTTTGGCATAGCGAACATTTTTTCCCACATCTTACGGTTAGTTCCAACGAATCAAGCATTTTGGACAAAAGTTGCCTCGAATCCAATTCCTGAGTCCTTCACAAGAGTTTTTTGGAAAAACATTTTTCTAGAGTTCAAAAATAAAAAACGCAACGTTTGAAAAAATTTAGTTTAAAAATTCGAAAAATTTTTTTTGAAAAAAGCTCTCTTGATGAAGTCAGGAATTCGATTCTAAACAACTTTCGTACTCAGCGTTTTGGTCCAAAATGCTTGGTTCGAGCAGAACTAGCCGTAAGACTTTCTTCAAAATACTTTTAGCTCTGAAATCCCACCAGGAAGTAGGCATGGGACGGCCCGAGTATCTCGGTATTCGGGGCTCGGTTTAGTCTCGGTATTCGGTATTCGGGGACTCGTTCTGATCTCGGTATTTGATATTCGGGGTCCGGTCTAGTCTCGGGACTCGATTCGTATCGGGTGTTAAGTAGTTTTATTTTATATTTTTTTTTGCATACGGAAAATACATCTATCATCAGTGAGAGTGGTTGATCACAGATCACGTAATGCATTTTTTGATCAGAACGAATCTATTTGCCATAAAGTAAACACAGATGTCAAAAACTTAATCCCATTACCGAACATGGATCGGATCCCGAGACTAGAGCGAGTCCCGAATACCGAATACCGAGACCAGACCGAGTCCTCGAATACCGAATACCGAGACTGAAACGAGTCCCGAATACCGAGACCAGAACGAACCCCGAGTATCGGACCCGAATCTTCCGAGCAAGATTCGGTTTCGCTACATGCCTACCAGGAAGGTAAAAGTTAAAATTTTTACGTCAAGACTTCACCGGATAATTATTTTGAGTTTTCTTTCTTATAAAATTTAATGTTCTCTACCTAGGATGACCCTAAGTTTCTAATGAAATTTCAATTCTGTTACGGTTAATTATTATAAACAAGTGATATTAGATGAGAAAGAGTAAAATATTGTAACACTCTTGCTTGTTTGTGGTGATGACGACAGGTAGTTTTCATTCGCATAGCAAGCGGAACTGTGTTCGGAAAAAGATTTAAGTGGCTAGCTGGCTCATGAGTACGCATGAGCCGGGCCGGTTTTTGAGAGAATAACCGTGCGTGCACCGAACTTTTTTCTCAAAAAGAAAATCAAAATACTGTTCTCGTTTAGAATAGTGGAAAATTTCTTTTTTTTTTATTCAAGATGCCTACGTGTAAAACATACGTGAACGACAATCTTGAGACATTCCATCTAGTTTGGCTTGATACTATGGAGAACGAATCATCCGATGAAAATATGATCACTCAGCAGCAACTTCGCGCGATCATCAACCATTTGAAAATATTCAATAATGTTGAAGAGTGCAAAAAGTACATAGAAAATGTGACTAATAACGACCGAATTGTGCTCATTGTCAACAGTCAATCGAGTCAAGAAATAATTTCTCACGTTCTTGATTTGCGACAAGTGTCCTCCATTTACGTGTGCAGGATTGAGAGCGACGAAGAAGACATGTCGACGACTACTATATTCAGTCACAAAATCAAGGCAGTTGGCGTCGAGTTCGATGAAGTTAGAAAACGGTTCGCAGCAGATTATCATGATCCAAAAAGACGACGTCACCAAGAAGTGGACGAATCTCTTTCAATCAGTATCTTCAATACGAGTTTCATGATAGATCAATCGTCGACAGGGCTCAATGGCCAATTCATGTTGTCACACTTGCTTACTGACATTTTACTCCGAATGCCATCGAGTGACGCTGACAAAAATGAATTCATAGCTGTGTGTGAAGAAGAGTATAGTGGGAATTCGGCCAGTCTTGCTATTCTGGATGACTTCAAGCATACGTACTCGTCTAACCAAGCTCTCTTGTGGTACACAAAAGACTCGCTCTTGTATCGTCTACTAAACAAAGCTCTTCGGGTTCAAAACATTGATTTGCTCTTTCTGTTTCGATTCTTCATTCATGACATTTATCTACAACTCAAACAATTTCAATGTCCGAGTCCGATTTGCGTCTATCGTGGACAGCTGATGTCTGCAGACGAACTACATGTACTTCAGAATTCTATTGGTCATCTCATTTCCATGTATTCATTTCTTTCCACGACTAGCAATCGTGATCTGGCACTCTTTTACTTAGGCGATCTAGCAGCATCCGACAACTTACAAAAAGTTCTATTTGAGATTGATGCCGACCCTCGATTAGACAGTATCATGCCATTTGCCAATATCACTGCTCAAAGTCACTTTCCAGATGAAGAAGAAATTCTCATGATGCTCGGGAGTATCTTTCGTCTTGAGTCTATTCGGCAGCAAAGAGAAAAACACGGTCAAGTAGTGCATATCATTCGAATGACATTGTGCAGTGATAATCATCACAATGCAAAACTTGTCTATGAAACGATGAAAAGTGAACTTGGTGTCGACGACAATGGAAAAACAAGTCTCCTTCAGTTTGGAGATGCACTGATTGAGATGGGAAAGTTTAATGAGGCAAGCAAATATTTTCGTCGTCTGCTCCACGAACTTCCGGATAATCATCCAGACATTGCTCGTTGCTATCATTGCGTTGGAAAAGTAGCTACTGGCAAAGGAGAATATGAAACGGCTCTTGAATGGCTTCATAAAGCGCTCGAAATCCGAATACAAACGCTACCATCGAATCACAAGGAAATCGGAGATAGCCATAATAGTATCGGCATTTTATTTGGAAGCAAGGGTGAATACAGCTCGGCGCTCGATTGTTTTGGCAAAGCTTTGGCTATTTGGCAACAAACGAGTGACAAGAATCATCAACGAGTAGCCTGGTGCTTCAACAATATGGGCATTATCTATCAAGAGGAAAAGAAGTATATCGAATCACTCGAATGCCAGGAAAAATCACTTAGTATCAAAGAAAAAAATCTTCCTGACGATCATCCGGACATAGCAACATCACTCCTTAACATTGGCGATGTTTATCGTTCTGTTAATCGACATGACGCGGCGATAGAATATTACGAGCGAGCACTTAGCATTTTTCAAAAGTCTCTACCTGACCACCATTATCACATTGGACACACACTGTGTAGCATCGGTCTCCTGTATGAGAAAACATTAGAACTTCAAAAGTCTTTGTTTTACTTGCAGAAGTCAAGTCATGTTTATCAGCAAATATTGCCTGTGGCTCACCGTGATCGAGTCAAAATTGAGCAAGGTATCTCACGAATAACAGAAAAAATGAAGTCTCCTCTTATGACATCTCAGTGAGTTTTGTACTTTCATTCATAACCCTTTTCCTTCGGTTAGCCTTTCAGCAGAGGTATAAATGTTGGGCAGATCTATTTGGTTTCCGTTCAGTATTTATTAAAATAAATAAATAAATCTTTAATGTTCATATTTCCGTGTATACGAGTGATATAACATACAAGGTTTTTTCTAATGTTCTTATTTCCGGATGGGAACAATCAGGAAATCTGAAACTTTCTGGGCAAACTAGTCTCACCAAGAGCATCTTGAGGGTATGAGGGTGAGTAAAACCGCCTGTTTCAACCTTCGCGCAATAGGTGTCATCAGATGGCTTGTCTTCGGTTTCCTCTTCGTTACGGAAAAGAATCCCTTTAGGTCTGAATAAATCAAATAACTTGACTTAAATAGAACCACCTGCTCTTTTGCTGCTGCTGTTATTAATACATGAGATTTGCTTTAAGTAAAAGAGATGAAGTAAGTGAAAATATTCTAACGAGGAAACCGTTCGAAGTGCCGCGCTCCGATTTTTTTCGTTCGTATGCCGTTCGATAAAGTATAACTAGGTAGTAAAAAGCCTAACAGGATATCGGCCCATGGTGCATCCTTCAAAACTTAGAGCAGTTTTCCAGCTGAAAAAGCGAAATTTGAAAAATTCACAACTTTTTCAAAACACGTCAAATTCGAATGAAACTCTCACACCATGTAGATCTATGGTCCAGCTCTACACCCTGAATTTATAGACGCCTTCGCCATCTACTGTCGGAGCTGTACGACTTTTCCTTTCCATTGAAATTACCTTAAAGTCGTTCTTTCACGCTATAACTCATGAAGAAAACTGTTTGTGGATCAAATGCCTATATACATAGTAATCGTTTGACTGTTGATTAAGTTTCAAATTTAAACAAAAAACTGAAAGAAATTAAGCTATAATGCAAAGTTTCAAAACCTTGGCTCGATCGATATTATCAAGTTTATCAAGTATTTTCTGTCGAGTCCGATCAACTAAAACGAGTGCATTTTTCCTGCCTAATTGTCGAAAAATATTGCCCGCTACGAGTACCGACAGAAAAGAAATTACAGATAGATTTGCACTCGGAGTAGATATATGTCATTGTAGTAAAAGGGAGCTTCTTCTGTTAAGAAACCAGAAGTTAAGTGTTTGTTAAATGAATACAAAATATTTCAGAAAGAAAAGTGTCGACGGTGCGATTAAAACCGACGCTATCATGCGAGGACCAGATCACTCGCACATCTTCTGTACAGGAAGAAAGACAACTGTCTTCAATCTGACGCCTTAGAACACTCGGCCACGCCGACGGTAAGGGTGATTCGATTTTTCTCTTTTTATTCGGACTTATTATAATGATATTGATTGATTGATTTTTATTTCGACAACAGCAGTTTGGACAGAAAAGAGTAAACTTTAGTATTACAATACAAAAATTTAACCAATACTTAAAGATGTTGTTAAGAAAGCAGAAAAGGTTTTAAACACCTATAAAAATTGCCACCTTTCTATCCTATTTTTATCTTTTTTCCCCTTTCACAGTTGTAGGTGCTGCCTCAATTTGGTTTTGAAAGATTTTATTGTTGGCGAGATAGCTACAGTGTTGGGGAGAGAGTTCCAATCGCGAGCTGTCCTGTACAAAAAAGATTGTAGAACAGTTTCAGTGCGCGCAAATGGGATGAAAACTTGTCTGTTATGCTGTAATAAACGTCCGGATTTTCTACTCACATCAAACTGTATAAGATTGAAGCGAGATAAAGGTGATAAGCCGTTAAGGACTTTAAAAGAATACACTAGTCGGAAATACTTCCTACGCACGGAGAGTACAGGTAATTTTAGTTTTGTTGTTTCTGTTGTTTTGCTAGGTTTTGAATAAAAATTTGTAGAGAAAAAGCGTTTAAAACAAGATAGATGTAGGTGTTCCGTTTATTTAGTGGCACCCTATATATGATTTTCATAATTAAAAATTCTTGTGTTATATATATTTTAGGTTATACTAAAATCCAAAACATTATACCTGTTCAGGGGTAGAAATTTTACAATTGATAAAATAGTAACAGCAGCTTCTTTTAGATTCATATTTATTTAATAAAAATTTATATAGAAATTTTTATTAACTTAGAACGAAATGAGGGTCACTAATAGCATCATCTAAAATCTAAAAATTAAAATTTTAAATTTAGGATGTAGTCGTAACCATCAGCCGTTATACAATTAAAATGCGTTCCATGTCTGCTATATACTAAACCTCTTAGGAGTTCCTTGATCTTCTTTATAATTTAGCGAGATAAAAATTTTTCAATAATTATGGTAAAGAATTACTGACAATCAGTGCAATTATACTCAATTGTGTCTTCGAATTCGTTTCTACTGTTCGATAGGGCTTATCATGGTCCGTCTTGGTGAATGCACAAAGATGCGCAACTTAAGGGCTCCCCTCAGAAAAAAACTTTTTTGTCTTACATCTGATTTTGATTAAACTTTCAGCAAATGTTCGCCATATCAAAGTGTGATTATAAAATTTTTTTTACCTCGCCATCTCTTACCGTTCCGGGGTTTTCCAGAGTCCAAGGTCAAAAACCCATCCTTCAGTACGAAACCCTTTTTTTAAATATACTTCAAGCTCGAGCTCTCGGGTTGGATTTATTTTAAACTAGACACCTAACTGCGTGAGGTGCTGGGATGTCCTTTTCTAGAAAATCAAGAATCTCTGGAAAACCCGTAAAACGTTTTTTCGGGTTTTTGATGATCTTCGATCTCTAGAAAACTAACGAAGACCTAAATCCAAAA